GTGTTGTCCACGTAGCGTATCCATAGTTTTGGATGGATTAGCGGAAGGGCCATCCTTTCTGGTCTTTGCATCACTGCCTCTGCTGTGATTCCGGAGATAGGTGATCCCATGGGTGTCCCGTTGATTTGTTTGTATGTTTGGCCATTGAAAGTGAAGTGGGTGGTGAGGCATAGGTCCAGCAGTTTGAGCATGTTGTCTGTGGAGATGGTTTCACTGGGGTCTTGCTCTTGTTCCAGTAGTGTTGTCATTGTTTCCCTTGCTAGTGGTATGTCCATTGATGTAAATTGATGCAGTGACATCAAATGATATCATGGTCTCCTCGTCGTCTAGCCTTATGTCTTTGATGGAGTTGAGGAATTCTTGGGCTGAGTGGGGTGACTAGTTGACTAGGTGCCTGAGTCTCCTTTGTAGTTCTTTGGCTAATCTGTGTGACGGAGTGCCTGGTAGGGAGACTATGGGTCTAAGGGGTACTTCCGGCTTGTGCACTTTCGGGAGGCCATAGAATCGGGGTGTGTTGGTTCCTTCGGGTTTCATTCTTAAGAAGTCTGCTTTGTTGATCTGTCCTGTCTGTTTAAATCTTTTTAGCGTATAGAGGATTTTGTTGCCTAGTTGTGGTGTCGGGTCAGTTTGTACTGGCCAGTATGTGTTTTCGTCGGCGCGCATTGCCTGTGCCTTGGACATGTAGTCCCTTTTATTCAGTATCACTGTAATGCGCCCTTTGTCTGCAGGTAGTATTGTGATGTTCTTGTCCTTTTTCAGTCCTTCCAGGGCCTGTCTTTCCAATTTGTTGAGGGTGTTGAGATGGCTCCTTCTGGTTAGTGTCGGGATTACTGTCTGTCTTATCATTTGTTGTGTTTCTTCATTGATATTGTTGGTCCTTAGTGTGGCTTCCAGTGTGGCTAGGAATTCCGTTTTGTTGGCGTCCCTGTAGTTGTATTTCAGTCCTCGGGTGAGAACGGCTTTTTCCGTGTCTGTCAGTTTTCTGTCAGAGAGGTTTCTTATCCAGGTGTCTGTTCTGTTGTTGTCGTTTTTGTGGGTAAGTGTGGCTAGCTTGTCTTGAAGGGTCTGTCTTTTCTTGGCTCTAGTGGTCTGTTGGCTGATGTTGATGGCTTGCTCCATGTCTGTTGTCCAGTCTTGTTTGGTAGCTTCCAGGAATAAAGTTTTTTGGCACGTAATTTCTCTGTTGTATTTGTGGAGCCGGTTGTGTGCATCGTTTATTATTACCCTTACCATTTTGCGGCCGTTTTGTTCTGCTGTTTTGTGGGCTTGTGGGTTCATGGGTGGTTTGTATCTCACACTGTGTGGTAATACCTGGTTCCTGAGGCATCCATGTTGGAAGTAGAGTTGTTCGCAGGTTGCGTTCTCTCATTTGGCATAGTTTTCCCATTTTCGTGCCAATTTGAGCGTGTTACGCCCATAGGTCTCTAAGGTTTTGGAGTAGATTTGTAGCTTGGGTTGTGGGTGTTGAGGTTGGTTGGCTCGCGGCGCTGGTTTGTCTGATATAAAAACCAGGTGGGAAAACACACCGATGCTTCATCAGATGCTGCACTGAGGATGTTACCCAGCATGGTAACGAAATGTCTGCGGAACAACAAACCAGCTCGGCAAGCCAACCAACCTCAACACCCACAACCCGAGCTACAAATCTACTCCAAAACCTTAATGTACAGTATTTTATCCTATAAATTCTAATGGACCATCACAAAATGTATTCTCTATTTCATGAAGCATATAAAATTTTAATCATCCATTCAACATATTTTCCAAAGAATTTGCAAACAAGCATTAAAATATGATAGCATGTTGACATTATTATATTGAGGTCACCATATCTAAAGCACAGTTTAATATTTCAGTGAAATATGATGTCATAGAAAATTCAATATTGGTTTCGCAATTTGAATCATGTATTTTAGCAACTTAGTGCGCTTTCAATTATGTCATCTTTACACGTGATGTCAATGGATGACTACGGTCTGATTATTGGTATAATAAAATATGTGTACAAATATCAGGAATGAAGGAGATTAACAAATAAACCATAATTTCAACAACATGTATTGCCAGGCCTTAGATGGCTTAGCTATTGAAAGCGGCTAGTAGTTGAACAAAGAGAACTAGAAGGTTGAAAGTTCAATCTTTACTGTGTTCTGAGTTAATTAACTTTGTCTTAGTTGATTGGATTTATATTTGTCCTTACCATACTTTGATTAGCAGAGAAAGATAATCAAGGATTCTTACTGCTTCCTGATATTCAGTGACTTTTACTATAAGTTTATATTGAACATGTTTGGCAGGTACAGTACTGTATGACCCTTCCATAATTCAATCTCTTTTCAGTATGCATTGTAACAAATGATCTGATACCTGTGTACTTAAGGGAATAAAGTCCTTTAGAAAAGAGCATACATAAAATCATACAAGAATGGACTGGAAAATATAAATTTTCTCAATCAAACCTGTTCTGTCCTGGCATGGCGTGGCCTTAATTCACTATAAACCCTGTACTCCCTGCTGGCTGCTGATCACCCACTACCCCTGCAGTCTCAAACTTAGCTATCTATTTTCCTGCGACAGTAATAAAAGAGAGGAGAAAAGCTTTAGATCAAAGGGAAATTCTTCTTTCACCCCCTCCCCACCCCCCACTAAACAGCACAAGGGGTCTGATTGAATACTTAAACAAAAAGGCTGTAGGCTTAGACAGTTGTACTGCAGTCTCTAGAATGAGACTTGGATGTAAAATCTTCTAACTCAGAGGTGTGAGTGCTGTGAGACATGGCTTACAAAGGCCAGCCCAGATGAGAATAGCTAATTTCCTTTCTTGAAGAATGTTAGTCAACCAAGTAGGCGCGGTGACAATCCAATAGTTTGACAGGTACTTTCCCTAGCAGCAATATTTTATTTCCAGTTTTTAAAAATGAATTCAAATTTGCAACGCTTTGATTTGCTGGATCCATGCGTTATCTTTAAAAATTGCAATTTTGTCAGTTCTGAGGAAGGGTCACTCGAGTCGAAAGGTTAACTCCGATTTCTCTCCATAGCTGCTGCCAGACCTGCTGAGCTTTTCCTGCAATTTCTATTTTTGTCACAAGTCGCTAAACATAGCCAGACAGACTACAAGGAAATTAAACATGAGTGTTTACTTCTGTAAGGATTAAACTAAAAATTTAGAAGTAATGTTAAACATATGTTGAACCTTGGTTACATTGTACAGAGAGTACTATTTGTAAGAAATTTTAAATCCTGATGAATGTATCTGCAATGCTTCAAAGCCTATTAATGATAGTTATGAATCTACTTAGCTTCGGTGAAACATGACACATTGCAGTTTTCAAGCATCAATATACAAATAACAACTGTTATTACTCATAATTGCCCTTTTAGTAAAAGGCATGGCCCCTTCCTTCTCCCATGTTTTTCACCTGATCCCTTTACATCAAAACTGTCCCAAGTCTCCTTGGTAATATTCCTGAAACAAGTGCAGCGAATATGGTACAGCATAGGGGCTGGAAGCTCCTTTATCTGCTTTAGCTTTAGCACAATTTTTTCTTCTGTGGTAGTTTTCTGTTTCCATGGTGATCTAAGATCCAGGACTAAGGGGACAAGAAGTTGCAAAAATGATTAAACCTAGTTTTTAAACATTTTATCTTCAAAAAAAAAGACTAAATGAATTCAATTAAAGTTAACTGACATTTTTAAGTACTACTTGTCCAAGAAAGCTTAATACTGAAAATTAGTCAAAGGGAATTAATTGGTTATGTTTCAACAACTCGCAAGAGTTCAAACATTCCCAGATCCACAAGGAGAAAGTAAGGTGAAACAGGTGACCGCACCTCGTTGGGTGTTTTTGAGATTAGCTAAGCCATCTGTAGCCAACCAATATCTGCATTAAGCAGAAACTCCTAACTCGTGGTTTTGTTTGTTGTGAAGCATTTAGGTTCATGGTGAGGTCGTTTAACTCTTGCATTGAACTTTCAAAAGCCTGTATTCCTAAATCTGTATATTTCTGGTCACCATATTGTAAAAAAAAATGTAGAAGCTCTTGGGAGAGTGCAAAAATAATTTACAGGGTGATACGAGAAATGAGTTGTTCTATCTAATAGGAAAGGTAATCAAAATATTAGACTGAGAAGTTACTTAATTGAGATCTAACAGGTCTGAATGCTTTTAATGGATTAGATACAGAGACACAGTGTGGGTAAGAACAAAACTGGAAACTTTCTATAATACAGCAGGAAATTAATTGCATAATTCAGAAGACATTTTTACCCAGATAGTGATGAGAATATGAAACTCATTATCGCAGAGTTGCTGGGATAAAATATTGAAGGAGTTAAGGATAAGCGAAATAGATTGAGAGATGTGAATAGAGAGTTGTGCTGACAGAATTAGATGAAAAATGACAGGATCAGGATTGAATGATGCCTAAGTGCCAGCATGGATTGTTTGGTGAAAATTCTATGTAATTACAGGAATTAAAGTATCATGAAAGTTATTTTCTATTTGCAGTTATTGCTAATACAGATTTTAGTGCTGATTGACTCTTTGTCTGCTCTTAGAAAAGGCTCTTAATCCTGGTGTAATGAGAAAACAAAATCTGTGCAGTTTTTTCTCTCCACAATTCAAAAATAGAAAGCTTGTGTGCATTGGTAGTGAGTATTAATACTCTTCAGTTAAAAGATTGAGAGTCACACAGGATTCTCTTGCACATGGCGCAACAGAATCATGTTTTCATGTAAGTGACTTTATTCCATGTAATTCTTACCTGTTATAAGTATCACTATTCATAAAGTCTAATAAATGATATTGTTCTCTGACATCTCAAAGCTTAATTCAAAGAAAGTCTTACACATTGGAGTAATTAATGCTACAAAACTAGTTGGCATTTAGTTAAAAGATCAGTTCGAAATCTATTTTTAAAAAATCTTTAAAAGGAAAGGAACTGTGAGATTTACTTAAATTCTTCATACACTATTCGTTCTCTTTGTTTCTTTGAATAGACAAAAAGTTCGGAGTCAAAGCCAGGATTAATGGAGCCTTGGGCATAACTCTGAATTTGGTGAAACAAAACCTCCAAAACTCCAAGCTGATTTTACCTTGTCTGCAGCTGCTGCGGGTTTATTCCAGTAACTGTAAGTAAAGTACGGAAAGTATTATGTATCTGCATATTCATACAGCATTCGTGTCACTGAACATTTCATAGGCTGACTGAATGCCAGGAATTAGTTATATCTGTCCAAAGTGATATGGACATATCGAGGAAAGAGGGAAAATTACCAACTAAAAATATTGAAAACTGGTATATTTTATGGAATTCGATAAGGTAATGGGCTATCACAATATTTGTCCACTGTGATTTGTGTGCAGACTTGGCTCAGATTAAATGCAATCATATATGTAAAAGCACCTTAGCTTAATGAAGTACAGTCAAAACTGATTAGAAGATATTCTAAGTTATTCTAAAATCAGTTTAAATAATCTGTAACTTATTCATACATATTAGAGTTTTAAAAAATTTCTAGAAATTATTTTAGTTTTAATGGCTATACATGTTCCATTTAATTTTCCACGTTTTTTAGCTGTCAATGCTGTGTCCTTGGGTAAAAATGGTGTTGTGGAACTTATGTTCAAGATTATTGGTCCTTTTAACAGGAAGAACACAAGTCTTATAAAGTAAGTAATATAAGAACGTTATGAAAAGCGTGAATAAATTGAGAAGTAATATTTAAATTAATATGCCATTTTTGCTTTTTTTCCTTATAATAGATGCTAAAAACACTTTTTTTAATTGATTTTAGATGAAAATTTTACATGTTCAGAGATGCATTGTACAAATACTAATCTTTGAATATCGACCCAAAGAAAGATGTATCAGTGCATTTTCAGAATTGCAAGAATCTGCAACTATAGGAAAGCAAAGAGATTTAGGGTCCAAGTGAATATATCCTTCAAAGCTAGTGAACAGGTTCAAAAAGAAGTCAGAGGAGTGCGCTATTTCTCTCTACTCACACTACTCCACTGGTCGCAACATTTATTTAAATAATTTGTCCAGTTACCAACATGACCAAATGTATACTTTCTCGGTATTACATTCACATTAAGCAGATTTCTCTAATAAACAGCAAGATTATTGATTTATTGTAGAAGAAGTCTTATTCGACAAAGTTGCAGAGCTGGTTAACAAACAGAATGAAGTATGGAAGTCTAAATATAGACAAAACAACAGCATTTAAATTTGTTTTCCCTGCAATATGGAAAATGTTAAAGTAACAGTACAAGCAGTAAATTCCATTGAAATAGACTAGCAGTCTGATTTTTAATCTTTTTTCCACAAAGACCTAGGTGTTATGATCAGTATACTCTCATCCTTGTAGCCATTGTGGACATGTATATCAAATTGTTTTCAAGCTTTTAAAAGATTTTTGCCACTCCCTGGATAACTGTACTTTGATTTTATTTTCTAGTAAATTCGTCAGTGGAATGGTTATCGCTTTTTTTCATTCATTCACGGGATTCACTGGCTAGACCAGCATTTACTGCACATCCCTAATTGCCCTGGAGAAGGTGGTGGTGCGCTGCCTTCTTGAATTGCTGCAGTCCTTGGTGCATAGAGACATCTTGGTGTAGTACTGTTGGAAAGAGAGTTCCAGGATTTTGACTGAGTGACAGTGAAGAAATGGCAGTATAATTCCAAATCAGAACGGTGTGTGGCTTGAACTTGTCAAAGACAGATATCTGCGGCTTTCTAGTTGGTTCCCTCACCATCTGACCATGCCTTTTAAGTGCTATTTGGCTACTCTCCATGATGAACACTGTGAAGTAGACACCTGCTTTTATGTTTTCATTTCCAGTTTTTCTTATTGAATTCAAATTTTGCTATCTGCCGTTGTGGGATTGAAACCTATGTTCCTAGAATATTATCCTGGGTTGTGGATTACCAGTCCAGTGCCATTAGCTCTACATCAGCATATCACCAGAAACTTCATAATTTCTCTTTTAGTCTTGGACAGGGAACTCCTCTAATGATTGTACTTTTGCTCTTCACGACAGCACTTGTCCTTGCCTTACTATATACCTAGGGCAATTACCTGCACTTTGGCAGACTTATTTTTGGTAAGGTTTGTTACTGAAACAGCTAACTGTAGCTTACTGAACAGAGCTTTCAGTTGTTCCAGGTGGTTCATTCACATGCCACAGAATAATAGAGCATCATCAGGGGAAACTCAACTTGGAATACAGGCTACTGCGTTGTTCATTAATCTCTGGAAAGTTGATGAGAACTTTTTTAACCTAAAGATATCATTCGGCATTGGAAAAGACCGTCTGGTTTGACAAAGGTCAATACCAGATGTTTAAGGAACCAGTCAGTATCCCTTGAAAAAATCTACTTTGGTAAGAAATGTGGCTCTGCCAACTCTGTGAATACAATCTTTTAAATGAGCAGTTGGGTAGGAACTTAGCTTTGTTACTATATTAACCTTTTTGTTCAAACAAATTTTTCATCGACACAATCAGGCATTAACACTAGTGAGGAATCCAGCTGCTTTGACTCGGTTGAATTAAGCATCTTTCCAACATGTGTTGGACTTTTGCTTTCACTTGAGCCTGTGTCTCTAGAACTCTGTTGAGAATGTTCTGTAGCAGAGGATCCTCATACATCCACATCACATATTGCTAAGGTTGCCCACTGGTTTGTTCTTACAAACTCTTTTAATTTCTGTGATTAGTCTTAGTAGATCTCCTCGTTGCTGTGTCTCTGAATATGAAATCATGGTGTCTCACCTCTCTAATTGCTCAGTGTTAGCTTACAGGATGGTAAGTGATACTGTTTTGACGTTGTCCGTGCCTCCTTCTGCTTTATCCTCACTTTCCCTTTCATCCTGCACTGTCCTTACTACCCATCTATGCTCATCCTTCTTTTGACAGGACATCAATTCATTATAATGAGGTGACATAACTGATTCTCTTTCTGGCAATCTGGGGTGTCAATCAAATAATTTACTTTATCGAAAACAGAAATTGCTGGAGAAACTCAGCAGGTTTGGCAATATCTGTGGAGAGAAAGCAGAGTTAACATTTCGAGTCCAGTGACCCTCCTTCAGAATACTGTTTTTGTTTCAGATCTTCAGCATCCGCAGTTCTTTGTTTTAATTAACTTTATCAGTTGTTTTCATTTCCCTTTGTAGACCACTGTTCTGAACTGTTAGCAGTTAACTCTGTAAAGGCTCTAGAACTAGCACATCATTATTTGGTTTAAATATTTGGGTATTGTTATGGTTTTTAGCCTATTTCTTTGTGGTTGTTTGTGGAACTTTAAAGAGTTCCTGAACTGCTCCCAGAACACGGATATATAATCTAATGCAAAGTATTTGTCTATCTGTTCTAAAATCTGATCTTTGACTAGCTTCAGATGACTTATCATTGTCCATAAACCAATTCAAAAGGACTAAAACCAGCATACTCGTCTGCTAAATGAAGAAAGCAGACAAAAAAAATTCCAGTCTTTCTCCTAGTCATGGGCATGTTCGTGACAGTATGTCCTGATCATCGTTTTCAGGATTTGATGGGATTGTCCTAAAGCCCCTTGCATTCTTTAGTGTTATACAAAGGACTTTTAATTATTTTACACCCAGACTCTTCACAACTTCTTGAAAATTTTTTGACATTAAGTTGGAACCTTATCCAATTGGATGTACATCATTTATCCAAATCAAGAGGAAAAATTAGGTTAACTTCTGTACTTGTGTCTTGGCAGAAATTGTTATTTAGAATATGGCCTCTGGGAACCAAGTAACTATACCCCAAATAGTGAGGATATACAGTTGTCTTGCATTTAGTTTTGGTCATATGCAGCCTACCGGCACTCTATTAAATGGCTCCCCAAAAACTGGTTTGGGAATTAGAGGTGCCAATTAGATTGTGGGTTGTGATTTTCCAACAATCTGGCCAATTTTATGAAACTGCACTATGCCTTTGTGAACTCTCAGCCAGTAATATGCTTGCATCATGAGATCCTACAGGCCTCGCCATAGGAAATTCATGGGCTGTCCTCAGCATATCCTGACAATATTTGGGTGACACTACGATTTAGTGAACAACTGTCCATTGTTTGTCTGCAAATTTGTGTGAAGCTGTCCACTTTTTCAGCAGAAGGCTGAATAGGCTGGGGCTATTTTCCCTGGAACATCGGAGGCTGAGGTGTGACCTTACAGAAGTTTATAAAATCATGAGGGGCATGGATAGGGTGAATAGCCAAGGTCATTTCCCCAGGGTCGGCGAGTCCAAACTAGAGGGCATTGGTTTAAGGCAAGAGGTGAAAGATTTAGGACGGACCTAAGGGACAACTTTTTCACATGTGGTGCATGTATGGAATGAGCTGCCAGGGGAAGTGGTGGAGGCTGGTACAATTACAGCATTTAAGAGGCACCTGGATGGGTATATGAACAGGAAGGGTTTAGAGGGATTTGGGCCAAATGCTGGCAAATGGGACTAGTATAATTTAGTATATCTGGTCTGTGTGGATGAATTGAACTGAAGGATCTGTTCCCATGCTGTATAGCTCTACGACTCTGTGATTCTAATCCTGTTTCTATGCAGTAGCATTCTGGAACTTGTCCTGCTTCAACTTTGGTTTGAACCCATTGTACTGCTTCTCTTAATTCTGGGGTGACTTATTAAACCCCGATCAGAGAGGACTGACTGAACATTTCCTTCAGGTTATCCAAATACCCCAGAAACTGTCCAGATACCTGTCTGTGATGCCAGATTGACCTCCACCAAAGGAACTTGTTTAACCATTACTTGGATTGCTGCGCAGAGAGGAAAATTTCCTGCCACGTTTTCAGCAAGTGGTCTGTCTCCTTGACTTCACTTAGCCATTCCATGCCCATTGTAAAAGCTACAACGTTTGCTGTGGCCAAATCAAGCATCAGAAGTCAGTCAATTCCATCCACAGGTGAACTACAGATAACCCCTACAGTTACAATACTAGATAATAGGCCAACTCAGGTGCGCCCAAACGGAAGGAGGAGTTGTATACTCTCTGTTGATACTGTTGACTAAAACCCTGGCCTTCAGTGCTCACTGGTGGACAAGTTATACATTTTGCACACCAGAAGACTTTGTGTGGCTGCTGTATCCCAAAGTAAGTTGTTGATTTAGATGCCTCATTTGTGGGAAAAGGAGTTACTCTTCTTTTTGGCAAGATTTCCCTATAGCTGTCAGATAATTTGTCTGCCTCCGTCACCCTGATTAGTTCTGTTGCTTTACCCTGAAATGTCCAAAATTCTGCACAAAAGCAGTCAATGTAAACATTCAGGCTGTCTGATGTCGTGTCCACCCTCAGCACCTTTCTTCCTGGTCTGAGGATGAGATCCCAGGGCATTCCAAACTCCTCTTTCCTTGTCCTTGGCCTTCCTTTCATCTGTATATCTTCCATGAAGGAAAACCAGAAGTGAGGCAATCCAGCTCAACGGACTCCTGAGTTTAATAACCAGACGGGAAAACACACAGACACTTCATCGGAAGCTGCACTGATGTTACCCAGCATGGTAATGAAACGTCTGCGAAACAACAAACCAGCTTGGCGAGCCAACCAACCTCAACACCTGCAACCCAAGCTATAAATCTACTCCAAAACCTTAGTATTTTTCTTTGTCCGCTCAAATTCAATATAACTCTGTTTTTTCGAAAGTTTTAAAATTTCTACTTTAAGTCTTAGGTCCAAATTTACTCATCAAGAAAATCCTTTTGTGCCACCTCATAACCTATAGACACTTGCTGAGAAAGCATAGCATAAACCTCAATACTTGCTAGTCAGCCTGCTTTGCATGAGTAATATCCAATTTTCTTTCGGCCAACTCATCTGTTTACCTATTTTTTCAAAAGATATTGAAAAGATCTCTTTGTTCCTTTAATCAAATTTCAGAAACTGCCCAAACTTAAACAGCTCCTTGTTGTGTCTTGGGCTGGACTCAGATCTTGCCTCATCCGTTTATTAGTCGGAATCAAAGGCATCCATTTTTCCCAGCTTTTTAAGGTATTACTCTCTTTCTTGCTCCTTTTCCTCTCTGTCCTTTTCCCTCGCTCATAATGTTGACTTCAACTTGTTAAAGTCTTTCTTTTTACTTTCTGATAACAGTTCCTTCAATCAAGCACTGATTGCCTTTGAATGGGGATTCTCCCAGGAGTCTGCAAGCCAATTCAGTAGGATTTGCTTTTAGGCTTCCCATGTAGTGACTGCCTTACCAGTCATTGGAACAATATCAGCGGTGGTGAGATAAAGCCTTTAATTTTGGCTTGATCGACTGCTTACAGGGCTCAATTAACATTGTTCATGAATCTTCCTGCCCTGGACTTATTCTGGGCAGAGGCAGGAAGGGAGCAGGGCCTCTACCTCATACGCTGTAGCCTCCATTCAATGCACACTCCTTCATCAGGTTTTAAAGTTGTAAAAAAAAAACTCATAATGTAACATAGATTGTAGCAGTCCAAGACAACAGCTCACCACCATCTTCTTGAGGGCGACTGTGACAGGCAGTAAATGCAGGCTCAGCCAGAGATGCCCATATCCCATAGGTGGAAAAAAAACTTTTATCTGCTTCCTTTAAATCAGTTAAATTTGTGATCCTGGAAGAAAATTCAATTTCTTTTCTGCTACAAGGTTTAATGGATGCATAATTGCATTTTTTTTGTGTTGTAGAGTCTCATTGGACGCACTGGCAGCATTGCTGAAGAGCAGTAAGTGCTTTATCTAGCTATCTATCCATGTGAGTTGATCAGTAAGGAGAGAAATTTTCTTCCCTGTTTAAAATTTATTTTTGAGATTGCTTCTTTTTTTTCCCTTCTTCTGACTTATGCAGGGTCTTAAATCTACCATGTTAAATGTTGTTTGATCTAAATGCCCATGTGAAAACTCACCTTGTGAGTGAGCTTCGTAACTAAACCTGATCCCACCTTTTGATTCTATTCATTTTATTATTCACATCAAGCCATTTTTAATTGTAGTAGTTCAGATTGAGACTTGAGTTTTTAGAACCTGAACCATCTCCACTCACTTTTATAACCATTATGCCTTTAACACACTGAAGGACATTCATGAAAATGTTGATGGTTTTGAAGTCACCAGCACAGTGACAAGCTTTTTATTCCAGATTTATTTTATTGAATTTTTTCATCAAGTAGATTTAAGTTATCCCATGGCACTATTTTGAAGAAGAGCATGGTTTCCTGAACAACATTTTAACCCTCAATCAATATCACTAAAACAGATTGTCACACTGTTGTTTGTGAGAACTTGGCTACAACATTTTCTGTATTGCAGCAGTTACTACGTTTTAAAAGTAATTCATTAACTGTAAAGCAGTCTGTAACACCCTATTGTTATGACCAGACCAAACCTCCTCAAAGTATTAAGAAGATAGCCTAAACCCTAACTTCTTCTCATTTTACAGGTAAACATAAGGCATTGTGTCCCAGATGCAATTTGATTGGTCAAACTACCAGCCTTGAAGCAAAACACATTTTATTCATACACAATAATTAAACTACAGACAAAAGTAAAATAAAAGAATTGGCTTAATTGTAATTCTATCAAAACTCTTAAAATAGCACGTATATTAACTACTACTAATTAACTGTTCCAATATCATGACGTCCCATAAAAACACTCTTGGCAAAGGCAGATTCAGTAAAATAGATTGTCACACATGCTATTCTAACAGCAGGAAGAGAATTCCAGCTTTATCTGTAACAGAGAGAGGAGTAAGAGCTTCCGTATCCAGCTTCAAGATCCCAACAACTGTTAACGAAGGCTAAAATTTAAAAAAAGACTGGTTCTGTGGAGTTTGTCTCCACCTATTCAGGCTGCTTCTATTGTTCCAACTTTTTTAGAAAAACGACTCAAGGCTTCACAAGCTTTTTACTTTATTGGCTTTGGAGCAGTCTGCTCGACACCTCTGTCTCAACCTTTCTTCATGAAAAACACAGGACAAAATATACCTGTTAAAGTCATAGTATCGTAATACTATATTTGTGAAAGGCATAACATAAATGCAAGGTTTTTTGGTTGTTGAAGTTTAGTGGATGCAACTAATAACAGGTCGAAAAGCTTCCGTATTATTAGCATATATGCCCAGGGCACTGGACCAATCCAGGGACGTCAAATCCCACCACCAGGAGGAAATATTTAAATTCAATTAAATGTACGGGATAAAGCCTCCATGTTGGTCACCACAAAACTATCAGATTGTATTAAATTAACATGGTTTAGAAAAAAGAACTTGTAGTGCTTTCCTGCTGTTAGCTGCATGTGATTCCAGACCCTCAGCAATATTTCTTCACTGCCCTATGAAATGGTCATCGAATCATATAGCATGGAAACAGACTCTTCGGTCCAACCGGTCCGTGCTGAACATAATCCCAAACAAGACTAGTCCCACCTGTCTCTCCTGGCCCATATCCCTCTAAACCTTTCCTTTTCAAGTACTTCCCTGAGTGTCTTTTAAATGTTATAACTATGCCTGAATCCACAATGTCCTCAGGAATTACATTTCACGTGCAAACCACCCTCTGTGTAAAAAATTTGCCCCTCAGGTCTTTTTAAAATCTCTCTCCTCTCACCTTAAAAGTATCTATACCCCTCATGATTTTATAAACCTCTGTATGGTCGCCTCTCAGCTTCCTACACTCCAGTGAAAAATGTCCCAGCCTATCCAGCCTTTCTTTATAACTCAAACCTTCCCATACCTGTCAGCATCCTGGTAAATCTCAGTTGCATCAAACCATGACAAGAAAAAGTTGAATAAAAATAATATGTGCAGCTCTTCCTTCTCCCAAAAAGTTTGCAAAACTTTTTAAGAGTTTTGTATCTCATACTATTTCTTCCCCTTCAATCCATAACAGTGATATATCATGAAGTGTACCTATTATTTATTTTGAAATGTGCATGTATCTTTTATTATAGAAACCAATGCCAGGAGGGCAGTGGATAGAGGATACCTTCCTGTTCTTCTCACCGTCTATATTGATTGGCATAGACATGACTCAAGGCATCGGCATGTGCTTATCCGCAAAGGGATTTTAACCTGTATCAAGAATATCACAAGTATCAAGTTGGGCAGGAAAGCTTTCGTGGATGCCGAAGGGATGAAAATCTTGTATAATTCCTCTCAAGTAAGTATTTTAATTGGTCCTAAACTATTAAATTATTATGTGGACATAATTCTAAGATTTTGGGATTCATTTCAACCGTAGTTGAAAGACCTAAGTTAATTTCAATTGTAGACTGAGTTGAGAGACCTAATCTAATAGTTTAATAATCCTGATTTGTAACTGGTACATTTTTTACAAGTTTTACAGAATTTATGAAGCTTATCAAATCAATTCATAAGGATAGAACTTAAAAACCAAAACTAAGAAGAGCAATCATATTGCTGGAAGTGTACAGTAGATCCCCCTAACAATCCAAGAAAAATAGAAGAGCAGATATGTAGACAATTTTCAGACAAGTGTAAAAGTAATAAGGTGGTGATAGTAGGGAATTTTAATTTCCCCAACATTAACTGGGATAGTCATAGTGTGAAAGGTTTAAGAGGGAGCAGAATTCTTAAAATGTCTCCAGGTGAACTTCTTAAGTCAGTATGTTGGAGGCCCAAGAATAGAGGGGATGGTCTTGGACTTTATTGTAGGCGATGAGGCCCAGCAAATAGGGCACATAACAGCAGGGGAGCATTTTGCAGACAGCAATCATAACTCCGTTAAATTTAAGATTGTTATGGAAAAGGACAAGGATGGGCCTGAAATCAAATTCTAAATTGGGGGAAATGCTGATTTTAATAAGAGCAGGTGTGAATTGGCTAGAGTAGACTGGGAGCTTTTAGGTAAATCTGTGTCAGAGCAGTGGGACACTTTCATGCAGAAAATAGGGAGAGTACAGGGCCAACATGTTCCAATAAAGGCAAAGGGAGGGAACAACAAATCCTGTGATCCCTGGACATCAAGGGACGTATGGGATTGGACAAAGAGAAAAATGGCATTTATCAAGGGCATGTGCAGAAAATGCAAGTGGAAACTTAGAAAGGAAATTAGGAGAGCAAAAAGGAGCCATGAAAAAATAATGGCTAATAACATGAAGAGAAAACCGCAGTTATTTTACAAGTACATTAAGGATAAAAAGTAAGACCGAGGGCCCATTAAGGAAAAGGGTGGTAAATTGTGTATGGAGACTTAGGACCTAGGTAAGATTCTACATTAATACTTTGTGTCAGTGTTTACTAGTGAGAGGAACAATGTGAGTTTAAAAATCAGGGAGAAGATCTTTGATATCCTTTAAAGAAATTAGCATAGTCAGAGAGGGCTTTTTGAGTAGTCTGGCAGGCCTAAACAAAGATAAGTATCCAGGGCTAGATGAAATGTATCCCAGATTGTTGAGTGAGGGAAGGAGGAACTAACAGGTGCTGACAATAACTTTCCTCTCTGGCCATAGAGGTGGCGGAGGAATGCCAATGTGGTACTGTTATTCAAGAAAAGAGCAAGGGAATAAACCAGTGTCAAGGCATATAAGGTGTTGGACCAGTCAGTCTAACCTCAGTGGTGGGGAAACTATTGGAAGTAATTGTGATGGACAGAATTATTCTGCACTTGAAGAAGCAGGGACCAATCAAGAACAGTCAGCATTAGTTTTGTAAAGGGAAGGTCATGACTTGATTGAAATTTTTGAAGAGGTGACCAGGTGTGTTAATGAGGGCAATGTTTTGATGTGCTCTATTTGGATTTCAGTGAGGCTTTTGATCATGTCTGGCATGGGAGACTGTTAGTAAAGGTAAGAACCTATGGGATCCAAGGAAATTTGGAAATTGGATCCACAATTCATTGAGTGACATGAAACAGCATGGTAGTTGACGGGTGTTTGTCTGACTGAAAGTGTGTCCTGTAGAGTGCCACAGGGGCCACTGTTGGGGCACTTGGTATTTGTGGTTTATATAAATAAGTTAGACTTGAATGTCAGAGAGATGTTTGCTCAGTAAGTTTGCAGGTCATACAAAAATTGGTGTGTGGTCAATAATGATGAGGATAGCCTTGGATTACAGGAGGATATAGATGGGCTGATCAATGACAAATGGAATTCAATCCAGAATAAATGTAAGCTGATGCACTTGGGCAGCACTAACAAGGCAAGAGAAACCTAAATGTGCGTATACACCGATACCTTAAGGTATCAGGACAAGTGGCTAAAGTGATGAAGAAGGCATATGGGATATTTGCCTTTATTAGCCAAGGCATATAGCAGAGAGGTTATGCTGGACTGTATAAAATGTTCTTAGGTCATAGCTGGAGTATTGTGTGCAGTTCTGGAATCCACATTAAAGGAGAGATATAATAGCACCGGAGAGGGAAAGGAGATTTACTAGAATGTCGCCTGAGCTGGAGAGTTTTAGTTATGAAGAGAAATTGGACAGACTGAGGTGATTTTCCTTAAAGCACAGGAGATTGAGAGGGTTCATGATTGAGATCTATAAAATTGAGACTCAAGTAGGTAGGTAAGAAGAATTTTTCTTCCCCTTCATGGAGGGATCAAGGACCGAGTGCATAGATTTAAGGTAAGGTGCAGAAGATTTAGAGGAGATGTGAAGAAAATCATCTTCACCCAGAGGGTAGTGGGAATTTGGAACTCACTGTCTGTCAGGGTGGTACAGGCAGAAACCCTTAGAACACTTAAGCAGTATTTAGATGTGCACTTTCAGCGTCAAGGCATACAAGGTGTTGGGTCAAGTGCAGGAAAGTGGGATTAGAATATTTAAGTGGTTGATTTTAACTGGCACAGCCAGCCTTTTTCTGTGCTGTAGATCTGTGTGTTTCTATGATATGAGAAGAATGTTTTTCCCCCTCAGGTTGTTGGATCCTCATGCCACAGAAGGAATGAATATTTTTAAGGTGGATCAAGAGAGATTTTTGTTAGGCAAGGAACTCAAAGGCTATCTGGAGTATGGAATATGGAATTCACCAGATCAGTTATGATTGTATTCAGTGCAAAGAGTTTGAGTGACCTATTTCTGCTCCTGATATATATGTTCATATGAACATGTATGTTAATCTTTAGTTTAAAAGATTAAATTTTAAATATTTGCCATTTGAAATAACTCCAGCACATGCACGTGCTCATGCACACACACAAAAAGCTGGAAATGTTTTCTGCAGGGATTAACTTGGGAGGAGAAAGCTCTTTTGACCAAATTAGTTGTTAATCCTTGTACATTTGGATTGGTTACTAGGCATGTGCTGTTGTCTGTCTGGAATCTCTTCAGATGCAGTTCATTCAGGATGTTAAAAGGAAGTCTTACAGAAGCCTTTGAGGGAGAACAGCTGTTTTGGCTTTACAGCTCGCAAACAATGTCCTTAAGCAGGTTCTTCAGAATGCTGGGGAAGCCTAAGCTGGAAACCCTTTCTGTTTTTTTTCAGACTATCCCTCAGCTGAACTCAAGATATGTGACTTTTAGAAATTGTTCTATTTTTTTAAAGAAGGAAAGTGTCCCAATTTCAGTTGCCTCCTTGTAACAAAAAAAAGTCCAGGTATCTCCTTAGCATTTTAGATGAACCAATTTTCATAATCCATCAGACACAATTCCTCAAAAGATACCAATAATAGAATTGCTTTCATAATAATAAAGTTTCTTGCGTGCCTGTTCAGCAAGAACACTGAAAAAAGGGACATTTTCTAAAAGTCATGTGTCTTGAGTTTAGTTGAGGTATAGTTATTTAGTTTTCCATGAAAAAATAAATTTAGTTGCCACAATTCTTTAAAGAGAACTATGATATAGAATCTGTAGACTGCAATTATTTTCTTCATTGTTTTCTTTTACAGGATTGCCTTTCGGTGAGAACCCTGGATCCGCTGGTCAATATCTCTAGTCTCATCATGAGAAAATGTTTCCCTAAAAATCGGCTTCCTATTCCAACCATCAAAAGTGTCTACCACTTCCAGTTACCAGTAATCCCAACAAGTGGTCCTGTAGCTCAACTGTATAACTTACCTCCTGACGGTAAGTTTTGAGAACTCTCAACACTCTTTCCCAAAACAGAAACTAAAGTGAGCAACTAGTATAATAATAAGTGAATATGAATGCATGATGTATGTTGAGAATAAGGCAGAGAGGAAAGTGTAAATTGGTCAAACTTGCATTCCTTCCACACAGGGACATAAAATGAACATTGCGACTTAATTTGGACAGATAAAACGGCAACATAGTTATGCAAGTTATTAGTGTACTTTGTGATTGGTTTTGCTCAAATCCACCAGTATTCACTAAGGTATCTACAGGATAAGAGAACTGTTTCTGAAGATACACATTTTTTTGTACTTCTAGAGCAAACTTAGTCTTTGACTCAGATAAATAATTTTCTTGTAAATCTGTATTCTTCTGTATACCTATAGGCATCTGTGTTACATTGTCCTCCACAGGAATGCATCCCATATATAGAAATAGATAATAACTGCATATTAGGCTCTGGGTAGTTAAAGTATACTGCTGCCTCCAATCTAAATTGCTAATTGGCTAATTTCTCCAATCTAATACGAAATTGCCCATAGTATCCAAGGATGTGCAGGCTAGCTGGATTAGCCATGGGAAATGCAGGAGCACAGGGATAAGGTGAGTGGGTGGGATGCTAGGTGGACAAACAGGAGGCTGGAAGAACACAGCAGGCCAGACAGCATTTGGAGGAAAGGAGCAGTCAGGTTTCGGGTATTACCCTTCTCCCAGTCCTGAAGAAGGGTAATACCCAAAACTTTGACTGCTCCATTCCTCTAGATGCTGCTTGGCCTGCTGTGCTCTTCCAGCCTCCTGTTTGGCTACCTTGGATTCCAGTTTCTGCGGCTTTTTTGTCTCTGGGTGAGATGTTGTTTGGAGGGTTGGTGTGGATTCTGAAAGGCCTGTTTCTACACCATAAGGATTCTATGATTTCAATCCTTCTTTATATACTGTTCTTAAGGATATGTTCAATTATTAGTGACAGAGGATAGACAGTGAGTCATAGCAAGAAGAGGCACTTATTTTATGTTACAAAGGATAGTTTATTGCATGATAGCATTAGTTCAAAGTTACATTGACTAGTTAAGCATATCTATTTCAGATTAGCAGGAACCTGGCATGTCACTTCTGACCCACTGGGCTCTCATGCAAGACTGCATGATTCTGCACCCAAAACTAAGAAACTGTCAAATTGGCTAGAATTTATTGCAATTTCAATATTAATGCTTTCAAAACCATTACCTTTTAGAACTATAATATTTAGAGCTATTCTTTTGAATTACGATTTGATAACATTTAATGACCATGTTGGGTGATCGTGACCACGGATCCCACAGTTACAACATAGGGTTACATCAATGTAGAAGCAGGAGTGGCCCATTCAGCCCATTGAACCTGCTCTGCTGTCCATTACATCCGCAGCTGTTCATCTACTCTGACTTTTTCTCACACAACTCCATAACCCTTTTCATCATGGGTATTTATAAATCTGTCATCACTTCTTTAAGCATATTTGATGTTTGTGCTTTCACAGCCCTCTAGCGTAGAGAATTCTAAAGATTCACTGCACTGTTTTAAGAAAAATCAGTTCGTATTGGTCCTAAATGGCTTTCATCTTATTTTGAAATTGTATTCCTTAGCTTTAAACACCCCAACCAGGAAATAAGTCTTAGCTGCCTGTCTGTCCCTTAAAAGTATAATATAGGTTTCAGTAAGATTCCCTCTCATTCTTGAAAACTCCAGATAATACAGGCTGTTTGGCCAGTCTCTCTTCAAATGACAGTCCCATCATCCCAGTAACATGCCTAGTGAAACTTTGTTGCCTTTCCTCTACGGCAGTTATATCCCTCATAAGGTAGAGAGATCAAAACTGCCCATAATACCCGAGGTGTGATCTAACCAAGGATATGCGCAGTTGAATCAAGATTTTGCTATGACTGTACTTAAATGTTCTTGTGATTCTCCCTAAATAGTCGAATGACATTTGCTACCATCCAATCTACAGGATTCATTAAACTTTGGAAGATGATTACCAATCCACCTACTATCTCTATAGCTACCTCTTTTTGGGAACTTAGCCTTCAGTCCCATTAACTTCTTCAACGCAACCTTCTTACTAATACTAATTTATGTAAATTCCTCATTCTTCCCCATTCTCCCTCATTGTTTGGATTTCTGATAGAATTTACAATATTAAAGGAGATGGTATGGTCCCTCCTTCCTATGCCAGCTATCTGATTTCTGAAGGAAGGTCTAGGCCCGAAACGTCAGCCTTTCTGCTCCTATGATGCTGCTTGGCCTGCTGTGTTCATCCAGCTCTACACCTTGTTATCGAAAAAAGCCATCCATTTAGTTCCATGTCCCTGCTCTTTCTAGGAACAAAAAGCCATCACACAAAGTAATTGCATCAAGAACAGTTTAGGCAGAATTAACTATGACTAGATTAATTTATTTTTGTTAAGATAATTACTATAGTGGACTTGAAGGAATGGTAAACCTGATTAATACCAGAGGTGGATGAGGGTCAAGAATTTATTATCAGATTAGCATTTGAAAAAAAGATCAGATACATGGGCTGTTCACTCAAGTTCAAAAACACTAAGTGAAGACTAAAATTCTCCAGAACTCAATCAAACGTATTGTATTTATAATCTTTCATACTCGTTTTCTTTCTTACATCATAACTTCCTTAACTAAGAGATCAATGTATACTGATATCTGTTCTGTCCCCCTCCCAGTCCTTTTCTGTGGCTGTAATACGAGCACCATAGGGTTTTCTGCCCTTCTGTTTTTCCATTGCAATCAAAGATCACCCTCTCCTGTGCTCCGCCCTCCATATTTCAGCATTGAGAGTCTGGTAACTAGCCATTTTGAGGAGCCAACATATTCATCCCCAAACTGCTATTATGTGATGTCTTTCCTTCCCTTATTCCAATTTTTAACTCTTAACATTTGTCATGAGTTCGGAATTCACATTCCCAATCAGTCCAAGAGGTCTGAAAATAAATTAAAAAAAAACACAATTACATAGAAAATGCAAAAAGTGGACAGCAATAAAGCTGCATCTGTGGAGAGGGAAATAGTGAACAATTCAGATGTGAATGTTAACACTTCGTTCACATGTTATCTGACCAGCGAGGTTTTTTCTAGCAGTTTCTGTTTTTACTTCAGATTTGAAGCACCCACAGTGTTTTGTTTTTATGGTAAGAGTAATTATCATGGACAGTACTTGTGTTTTGTGGTTTGATTTACTCGAATGATCAATTTGTGGAAAAATAACTTAAGGAATGAATGCTTTTATAAACTTTATTTTTTACAGGCGTGTGTATTTTATGCGTTGACACTTATATTTATTTACTATTGGTTCAGTAGTTCCAGAAGACTTCACAATGCTAATTACTGTGTCTTTCTGAAAAACTACACATTTTATTAAAGCTTTTCATCTTGCTGTTATTACTGTTCATTTTGCACCCAGCCAGCCTTTACTTGCAAAACTTAAAATACAATGTCCAACATTAGATAACAATTGTTGAATGATTCCGTGTACAAACAACTACTCTGACAACTGTCTCTGAGTGAGTTATACTCTGACAACCAATTTAGGAATGTCAGTCAGGCTCATAGTGTGGTGCAGTTGCACTTAATGGCAGCTACAAAGATTAATGCACAGGCCCTTGTTCTTTGCAGGCAGAAAAACAATGTTGTCCGTTTTTCGTTTAACAAAGCTCTCTGGTTCATTGGTCAAGGCATTGGCCTGAGAAATCAGAGACATCCTGCCTGGTTTAAAATTTAAAGAAAGCTTGGCAGTTAATAGTCAGTTGCCATCTAACTGGCGCATTCTCCTTGGCAAGGCCTCTACCAATCAGCATCCACTTGCCAACCAATCAACACTCACTCACTCAAGCAGTACAAATGTGGTTTTCCATTTACTTCCATACTTCTTGCGAATTGCCTTGATGCTTCGACTAAATGTGTCTTTTATTTTGGCAATACTCAAATTCGGTACTACCAAATGCCTGTTTGTACTGTTATTCTTGGAATGTGGATGAGGTTGGCAAAATCGCATTTAGTTGACTATCCTGACTTTCCTTAGAGGAAAGACTCATCACCACCTTTAACAGTGTCAGTCAATGAAGAACTTGTCATTGTTCTAATGGAAGGAAGTGGTGAGTCCTGCGCTTGTAGTATTTATTTTCCAGCTTGCCAGGCCACTTTAGAGAGTGTTAAGGGTCAGCTGTGTCATGTATATTTCCAATATCTCGTTCTCAAGTATATTAATAGGTGAGGAGTAATGTACCTTCACTTGTTAATAAATTGCTGTCCTCTCAAAATACGGTTCTTTTCTAACATTTTTGGAACTAAGATTGAGATCCTCAAAAGTAAACTTTAATAACATTCCTTTTACTGCCATTTGTTTACATTAGAGTATCTCCATCTTGATTAGAAAAATTTGGGATTCACAGGGATTGGAATGATATTGTAAGCATAATTTGTTTGTACAGTACTGTTAATGAAATTGAACATTTTTTTCTAGTTGAACTTCTCAGAAATGTGTGTGGATTCCTTGCAAAAGTAATGAAAGTTCCAAACATGTTTGATTAGCAAAGATTAATAAGTATAGCAATCATTTTAATCCATAACCATTTAACATATATCACAGTTGACAAATATAAAGTAACAAGCTAATGCAGATGAGAACCTATTGAGTAACAATGAAAGTAATTTTTTGTAGGTAGTGTTGTGAAATATAATTTTAAAACTTTGGAGAGACAAAATGATAAATTTGAGAATGACCATTAAACTCTTTTAGTTATATTGGCAACTAAAGGGAGCAAGTTCCTTGATTAAAAAAATAGAAAAATAGAGGATGACATAAAGCTGAAGTAATATGCTAAGGCTGGTTGGAATGAGCATTGGACTACTTAAGCAACCATTCTAATGGTGGTTACAGATAGTATGTTCGTCACAATTATGAGGAATAATTATGCCAAGGAGCCCTACGTTTATAAAAATGATTTGCTAATTGCAGTGAACTAACTAATTATCAGTCACTACTTTAGCTTTTTTAGTATTAAATGTTTTAAATAACCAATGTGCTTGATTGAATATTTTTTAACAAACCTCTGCATTGTTGTTTAGATTTTGAAGACGTTTTTAAACCTCTTTTGTTTTAGTTGATGATGTTGTAGATGAAAGTGATGACACCGATGACACTGAAATAGAAACAGACAATGAAAATGAAAATGAAGATGAAGAAAAAGATGAAAACAAGAAGGTGCTGGACTCATTTTGTTTGCAAATTACATGAATTTTAGATCAACACCAAGTAAAAAGAAAATTGTCTTCAAGATATATCAGATTTGGTGGGAAAGAGTGATGAAATAAATTGGAGGTTGTAATCTATTGGATATGCAACTTTCATCAGAAATGTACACTACAAGCAATAAAAGAATTGTTTGAAGAAGATAATTAGTGAGCCAATGAACAGTCAAAAAGTATTTGAAAAATGTCATAGCTTTCCTATACAATGATTCCCAAACTTTTCTGGATATTTCTCCCGTACAAGACAATTCCTCCAGCTTTGCTGAGTACCATACATCTTACAATTTAAACCATGTTCATTTCCGTCATTTGGGTCAACAATGTTTCTGATTCCTCCAATTTTGTCATTAACAACTAGTCTCTCAAGTTTCACCACTATTTAGAAAGTGCACTTACTGTGACCATTGCCTCTTTGAATAATCATTACAGCACACAAGAAAGCAATTTGACCAATCATGTCCATGCTGACTTCACATATTGTCATTTCCATGCCATCTTTCCACATCCCAGCAAATTGCTTCTCTTGGGATAGTTAGACAATGTAAATAGATTTATGATAGTGAAGGAGGCTATTCTGTGCGTCATGTCTGTGCCTGGTGGAACATGAACCACCCAGCCTAAGCCATTTTCCAGCACTTGGTCTCTACCTCTGGAGGTTACAAGACATCAGGTGCATATTCAGACAACTTTTATATGAATTGAGGGCTTCTTCCTCAACTACTTTTCCACTATTCAAAAGTGAGTTTCGGATATCTCCTACCCTCTGGATGAAAACATTTGAAATAACTCCAACCTGTCCAATTTTTGTTCAAATTTTATTCCACATTTGGTAATGTCCTTGTAAACATCTGTAAGGGAAACTCGTCATGGTCCCAGAAGACCACAGGGCTTTCATTAGAGAGATACTACTGGTGGTGGTTTAATCTGAGGGCCACCACGCTGAAGGGTGAGGTTGAGAAGGTGGGACCTTAGCCAGTGTGGGAATTGAACCTGCGTGGGTGGTGTCATGCTGCATTGCATCCGTAAAACATCTGTACCTTCTAGTGCAATTACATTATTTTTGCGATGAGATGACCACAACTGCATGTAGTACTCAAGTTGTGGTATATAGTTCCAGAATAATCTTCTTGATCTTACATTCTCTGCCTTGCTTAATAAAACCAGTCTAACTACTTTCAGGGATCTGCACACTGAGGTATTGCACTTCTTGACACATTTCTGTATCCTTGTATTTATTATGTTTGCTTTGTTTTGCCCTAATATTTACCACTTCCCTGCCCATCTTACCAATTTATTGATGTACTTTATCCACTTTGATGTTAACTACAAGATCAATTATTTTTGCATT